TCATCTATAGCGTGGCCACGCATTTTTTACAGTCCGATTTCCACGAGGGGCCCAACGACATCTCTCATGCTTAGGAGGTGACAAGTCTCGTATTGCATGTCTACTATCTGCATATGATTCGTGAACGTATCTGAGCAACGCCGTTATGATCATCCGGTTAAAGACGACGTTTGACGCAGTCAAGACACGTCACTCCTCATATCAAATACTCTAGACATCTCAGGTCTGAGGATCCAAGAACGAACCACTGTATGAGATTCAAGTCATGACTCATGTCCATATGACAATCTCATGCGGGTCATCCAGTCACTTATTCCAAACGAGTACCCATGATTGTGATTTGCATCCAATGCATATGATCCTCATCATCAATCACACATCATGCTGGTCTTAATTCATCAATGTTCCCACAATGACAACTGACCATGGAGTTTAGAATCATCTGCAATGATTCATGGATATCTACCGAAACATAATAAACATGCCAATCATATCACGGGAAAAGTAATGCATTCATAAACCAATGAATCAATACATAGTCTAAATGTCATATCACGGATCATCGTAGAGCATTTCAACCAACAGGAGCTAGCAGCTTGGACGAGGACAGGAGCTTAACGGAAGGAGCTAACTTGGACGAGGACGGGAGCTTAACGGAAAGAGCTCTAGAAGATGTTGAAGACTTGGCCCATCAGGCGTCAAGACTCTTCCCGGATGATCATAACGTTACAAGATCATTCGAAGCCGCGAGAAAAGGACTTGACGTGCACAACGCGAAGGCTCCCCGAGCAAACCCTAGAGCCGAACCACCACGTACTCATGCTAGAGCTCGAGCGCTTCGTGTTACGCTCACCAAGGTCGTCAATCACATTCTTAGCGGATCCTGGGAGTCTAGGGACGACATTTCACTTTTCGGACGAAATCCGACTCGGAACTTACTTACACTCGAAGAAGACATCTCCTAAAGCCCAAGTGAAGCCCATGGGCCTTATTTACTCAAGAATTTCGGCCCATATAATGTCCCAACAGCTATATTTTGTTGTTTGTTCCTTAATTAAGACTAGGCTTGCATGTAAGCTAGCATTTAATGCTTTGTTTACTTAAACTCTTTCCAAGCTTTGTAATCATCAGCACTTTTGATCAACCTAATCTGATTTTTTGTTTGAGAATTCTCTCTTTCAAAGACTTGGCTGGTTTGTCCGCTATCCCCACGAGCCGCCGGTGTGTCCACCGCCAGTGTCGCCGTCCGGTGTGTCTGACGGTGGCCTTAGAGCTCGGTTAGTCCGGCTCGTCTTTCCTTGGTTTGTCCGAGGATCTATCCATCGTCTTATCCATCCCATCTTCTGATTCTAACCCTAATTCGAGAGCCACTTAGTGAGCCAGTGATTGGGTTTTGAATCCCGTTCGATTTCCCTCGTATTTTCTACTCGTTCGAATCGTGAATTCGAGAGCCACTTAGTTGCGTGTTCGAACCAAGGATCCATCCTCTTACGCAGCCTTGCGTGTATCATTTTGGTATCAGAGCTTTGCTCGAACCAACGGACGTTTTCCGGGTGAGATCTTTCCTTTTATTGCCTTGTTGTTTCCATTTCATAACAACCGAAAATTCAAAACAAAAAGTCTTTTCTTTTTCGTTTGATAAGAGCTGATTATTCTTCGAAACTTTTCTGGGTTTATTGCATAAAAACGAATCCATTGAAGCCTCGTTCGATCGTGACAAAAACCGCACATCAATCGGATTCTCGGCACAAGCGTTTGGTTGTGTTGTTCCGTGTGATTCGTTTGCGATTTTATTTCGTATTTGTTAGATTGTATAACCTGATCACTCTTGGCTTTTGTTCGCAGCAAGTGGTCCATTTATTAGGCTGGAGCAAATGAGTTCCGACCGTTCACTCGAAGTCGCCTATTCTTGGTTAACTCGTTCCCCACCCATTGCTGGGTTTGCTTTGTTTGTGCATGATCGAATCTGTTCGTTGCATGTGTGTCAACTTGATTGACTGTTTGAAGTATTGGTGATTGAGACGTTGATAGGAGCAAGTATTAGGATTGAACAACGATTGCACGTTTAACCACGTTTTATCACTTCCGTAGCACGATTTCTATTGTCTCATACCACCAATTGTTGCACGATTGTTTGACGTGTTTGCTGATCATTTTTAAGTGCTTGAATATCCTGTGCGTTGCGTGTTGTTGTTGTTGTTCCATTCCGTTAGTTGTTCGATAGTTTGCACGTTGTGTTTGATTTGCTTTGCACGTGTGTGTTTCACTTTCGTATTCGCCCGCTGTTTGTTTAATACATGTACACCCGCTGTTTGTTTGATAGCCATTGCACATTGAGTGATTGCTCATTCCACGTCTATCATTTCCGCTCTTGCATGTTGATTGGGATTCGTTTGCGTTATAGTACGTTACGTGCATTGTGCGAGGATTGAAGGAAAATGAGTGCCAACGACGCTTCTAACGAGGGTGTGAACGTTGGGTCTTCTAGCAACGATGAAATATTTCGAGCCCTTCAACAGATGATGGAACGTATTGCTAGGTTAGAAGAGACTAGACCAGTTACACAAACCATTAGAGAACATGCACCACGCAACCTGGAACCTGTAGACCAACCTAGACCACGCCGTCTACCCACACCCGAACTTCTTAGTGGTGACGAGAGTGACATTGCTCCTAGAGCCCGACGTACGGATAGAAAGTCGAGAGAAACCCCGAGCATCATGATAACCCTAGACGCATGCCAATAGACCGACATATACCGAGAGGACGAGTCATAATCGACGAGGAGTCGAACTATGACGAGAGACCACGAGCGAGAGGTCATAGGGCTAGGGATATGGTCGATGACGATGAGTCCGACCATGAGGAAATACCTAGACGGAGAGTAAACCTGATCACATCATCTTTACTTGAGAATTTTATGAGTGGATTATGATCTTTATCATCGGATTCACGTGCATATGAGTCGTCTAGGGGTAGAGTAGGTTCTTGTTTCGGCCATTGCAGGATCAGGTGGTGCAGTGAAGTCTTCGGGAGAAAACAATGGAAAAATCGGACGAAAACGCGGAAGGTGGAACAAGAGCAAAATCAGGCTACCGCCCTAGAAAGAGATTCGGCCACCCTAAAGTGATAGAAGTCTCTAGATTTAACAGAAAATTCAGGAGGGTTGCCCATAAGTTCTGTCGACCACCCGAAAATGTGAAGCATTATCAGGCTCCCGCCCTGAAATACAAAGAGACCGCCCATTTCTGTCTGACGAAATTTATTAGGGTTTGCTGAACAAAAGAGGAAAGAGGGAAAGAAAAAGCGGATCTTTTGGCCATTTGGAAAGGGGAGAAAGCACTTTGGAGAAAACTTGGAGCTTGAGAGACTTAGAGAAGAAGAAAAGAAGTGATCATCACCATTGAAGACCAATCTAAGCATGTGCTCCTTTGTTTCTTCTTGTTTTCTTCCTTTGAGTATGGAGTAGAATCCTAGTTGCGGGGAGGGGTCCCCCTTTTTGTATGGATGTTGGGTTTCAATCTATGATACTCTCTTAGTTGTTTCTATTGGTTTGATGTCTTGACCTTCATGCTTTTGATCTTGGCAAAACCTTGATTGAATGATTTTAGAACAACATTGATCATAGATATATGAGAATGGTGTTTTGACCTAGACATCAAATGAACAAAGCATTCACATTGAGAGATGGTTTGACTTGTTTAGGATTTATGATAGGGGTTGTCAATGCATCTAGGAATCCTCTAGATCATCGAGAGATGGGTAGTTGATTTTCTAGATAGTAGATCTAAGCTTGAGAGAGAAATATCTTACATAAAGAGCCTTGAAATCTCCAATTAGAAATGATCATCATGATTGGCATCACATTTTCAGCATCCATACCCGTCAAAGGGACCCCGAACCCACAACATTCGTGACCAATCGTTTTCATCACACAAGTTTTGCTTGCTTATTTGACCCTCTTTTCATATTTACATTTTCACAAACACCTTGCAATCAATATTTTCCATAACCTTTGATCTAGTTTAAGAATGGATTAATACAACCTAGTCCTCGTGATCGACCTCGGTACTACAACTACCATATACTTGCGGATAGTGGTACGAATCGGGTTACCAATTTATAACTCGGTGCGTGCGCATCAAAATCCTAGACCAAGAGATAGACCTCATAGGTGGGCCGACGATGTCGAAGAAGAAGAAGAGCTAAGACATCGCCAACCTAGAGGACCTAGTAACGACCTTAAGCTTAAACCGCCACTTTTTGTAGGCAAGGTAAACCCCGAGGCATACTTAGACTGGGAGCGCCGTATGGATAACATGTTTGAATGTTTTGCATATTCGGATCGTCGGAAGGTCCAATATGCCGCTGCTCAATTAGTAGAGAATGCACTAGCTTGGTGGGACTGGGAAACCACCCAGCGACGACGAGCTCACATAGAGTAAGTCGAGATTTGGCATGAGATGAAGGTTCTCATGCGCAAACGGTATGTCCCTCTGCATTTCCACCGAGAACTTCAAAGGAAGTATCGGAAGTTAGCCCAAGGACCTAGGTCAGTGGAAGAATATTTCGAGGAGTTCGAACATATTAGGAGTCGATTAGAGCTCGAGGAAGATGAGGAGACGATGATGGCTCAGTTCTTAGATGGACTCCATGAACGTATTGCTCGTAAGGTAGAGCGCCATCCTTACCGTGATCTCCATGAACTCCTACATTTAGCCGTCCAAATAGAAAAGCAAGATCAGAGGAAACAATCCCGGCTAAGTAGAGTAATATCCCAAGTAGGAACCCCATTGTATTCACCGAAGCCTTCATCTGGTCATATGGCTAAGGATTGCCCCAACTCTCGTGAAGGAGGCATCCGATGTTAAAATCTTTCGTGACCTCCAGGTAAAGGAAGAGCTCCCGAAGCTTCACGAGCTCCAAAACCACCCGTAGATAACACTAAGGAAACTCGATCTAGAGAAATCATTTGTTATAAGTGTCGGGGTCGTGGACATATGGCTAAGGATTGCCCCAACTCTCGTGTAATGATACTAAAGGATAACAGAGAGTATGAGTCCATGGATGAGGAAGAAGCGGGTGAACCCGACGAGGAGATCGAGTATCCCGATAGCGGCGAACTCTTGGTTACCAGACGAGTTCTGAGCACTCTAGTCAGTCCAGACGAGACTGCTCAGCGAGAGACCATTTTCCATACTCGTTGTACCGTCCAAGGGAAAGTCTGCAGGATGATCATAGATAGTGGGTCATGCATGAATGTCGCTAGTGCATACATGTCAAGAAGCTCGGGTTAATTCCCGAGAAGCACCCGCACCCCTATAAACTTCAGTGGTTAAACAACAGTGGGGAAATTAAGGTCGCCGAGCGCGTCAAGGTGCCCTTTAGTATTGGGCGATACCAAGACGAGGTCTTATGCGATGTAGTTCCAATGCAGGTGGGACACATGCTACTCGGTAGACCGTGGCAGTTCGACCGAGAGGTCAGCCATGATGGACGAGCAAATCAGTACTCTTTCGTTTATAACAAGAGGAAGATTGTACTCGCACCCCTTAGTCCATCTCAAGTGCATGAGATGCAGCAAAAACTAGCTAAGGACACTGAATCCAAGAAGAAAAACTTCTACATTAAAGCTAGTCAAGTCGACTGGGCTGTTCGTCAGGAACAATCGGTACTTCTCATGGTTTTTAAGGACGTAATGAACCTGAGAACGGAAGTACCTACCGATAACCCAGTCATGAGTCAGTTACTTGAGCGATTCCGAGATGTGTTTCCGGACGAGATTCCGGCAGGACTACCACCCATCCGAGGGATTGAGCACCAAATAGACCTAGTACCCGGTGCCCCTTTACCTAACCGATCAGCTTACCGAATGAACCCAGAGGAGACCAAAGAGCTCGAGAAGCAAGTTCAAGAGCTTATGAGTAAGGGTTACATTCAAGAGAGTCTTAGTCCATGCGCAGTTTCGGTACTCTTAGTGCCAAAGAAAGATGGAACTTGGCGTATGTGTGTGGATTGCCGAGCGGTCAACAACATTACCGTTAAATACCGGCATCCCATCCCTAGACTCGATGACATGCTTGATGAGTTGAGCGGAGCCACGATCTTTTCAAAGATCTGATGGGTTTTCTGTGATCTCAAGATCGAATCTAATTTCTAAGAGATCGGTTCTAGGGTTTGCGCAGCGGATATAAAACAAAAATTTTGATGAAACCCTAAAATCTATCATATATGATCTTGTCAAAACGTTAGAGCACTTACCTCAATCGATCCGGGGCCTGTATCAATTGATGTGTTCGTCCGATCGCGTAAGGCAGGAAGAATACCTCACCCTCTACACGTATTCACACGGCGGAAAGGATTCCAACGGTTGAAACTTGTCTGCTAGGATAGAAGAACACGTTCTTCTTTGCACATGGGTTTCAGAGATTTTTCTCTAGGTTTTTCCACTCTCAAAAACTCCCCAAAGGGTCTGAAAGTCGTGTCAAGAGGCTTAGGAGGCGTTCCCTAAAGTTAATCTCACTTAAAACCCTAATTAGAGCGAGTTTAGGAAATCCCGACATCTGCACCGATCGGTCTAGGCCTGGACCGATCGGTCTAGAGCTTTTAACGTGTGGACCGATCGGTCCATGGTTCCGGACCGATCGGTCTGAAACATTTTTCGGACCGAGCAATATTTGCACGTTACCTCTGGACCGACCGGTCCACGTGTCTGGACCGATCGGTCTGGGTTGGCTGGACCGATCGGTCCATACCTTCTGGACCGGTTGGTCTGGCCTCCGCTACACCGAGATTTTCTCGTCTCTTCTCGCCCATTCGTCCTTTCATGTGTGTATGACCCTGTAGGATCATTCGATATAGCAGTATAACCCGAAATCTCTTATTTCGGTTACACAAGTCATAGGCGGTCTCTAGCAAGACACTATGACTACCTATCTCGAATAGAGTTTGTTCGTGATCATACGAACGCTAGTGATGATTCCGGTTGATGATCCTTTTGTATCACGATATTATATGTCGAATATAAGGCATGGACAAGCCACCTTATCTGGTTCGACTGCTTTCTCGTTCATTGAGTTCGACTGTCTGAAATAGACGACGTTCGTCTATAGTGCGGCCACACATTTCTACAGTCTCGCTCACACGAGGGACCCAGCGATATCTCTCTCTTTTACGAGAGGTACAAATCCCTTCTTGACTATCTACAATCCAGCACATGGTTCGTTTCGTACCTGATACACGCCTTTATAGTCCTCTTGTTATGCAGGACGTTTGACGTATTCAAAGTACGCAACTCCTCATGTTGGATTCCGTGGATATCTCAGGTCTTAGGATCCAATCATGGAACCGTCATATGAGATTCAAGCCATGACGCAAGTCCATGTGACAATCTCATGCGGGTCAATCCAATATTTCGTTCTCCAACGAATACCTATAATTGTGATCGTATCCAATACCTATGATCATCTCTATGATCATCAATCACACATCATACTAGTCTTATTACATCATTATTCCCACAATGACATACGACTAGAGAGTTTAGTACTGTTCATAACAATACATGGATTTCATAACATATTTAAGTATGCAGAAACATGTAATGAATAAAACACTCATCTATCAATTCATAGAAAGTGTCAATACATCAAATGTATCTATAAATAAAGCTCCCAAAACAGTACATCATAGAGCACTAAACCAACAATCTCCCACTTGCTCTAATCATGGACTGCTAAACATCTAATGCCCATATCCTTAACATGACCCTCATGCTTCGACGAAGGGAGAGGCTTCGTCAACGGATCGAGTGTGACTCACCTGGATCTGACTGGTATCTACTCGTAATGCTCAATGCATAGGATACATCCGATCGAGTACAAAGCAAGGCATATATGATGGATCCAATTGCCGAAGCATATGGAATCCGATCCATGCGTTCTCGCTCATCAGGTGTCGTTGGACACTGACTCTTGCAGAGAACTTTGTCACTGCTCATCGGTAAGGTTCCTTTCTTGGAATCTTGCATCTTGGACCGTTTCAAGACCTTATCGATGTAAGTACTCTGACACAATCCTAGAAGACGCCTCGATCTATCTCTATAGATCTTGATGCCCAAAATATAGGCCGCTTCTCCTAGGTCCTTCATAGAAAACTGTGTTCCTAGCCAAGACTTAACGTCTTGCAAGGTAGGAATGTCATTCCCTATAAGGAGAATGTCATCCACGTACAACACTAGAAACACTACTGTGCTCCCACTAACCTTCTTGTAAACACATGGCTCGTCTTCGTTCTGTGAGAAACCAAACTTTTTTATTGTCTCATCAAAGCGAAGGTTCCAGCTCCTCGAAGCCTGTTTCAGTTCATAAATGGACCTATGAAGCTTGCACACCTTCCCCGGGTTCCTTGGATCGACAAAACCTTCGGGTTGTGTCATGTACACATCCTCGGTCAAGTTTTCGTTAATCTACGCGGTCTTGACATCCATTTGCCATATCTCATAGTCATAATATGCAGCCATGGCAAGCAGAATCCTGATGGACTTCAGCATAACTACGGGCGAAAAGGTCTCATCATAGTCAATACCATGAATCTGACGGAATCTTTTCGTCACAAGTCGTGCCTTATACGTGTGCATGTTGCCATCCATGTCGGTCTTCTTCCTGAAGATCCACTTGCATCCGATTGGTTTTATCCCTTCAGATTCATCAACCAGAGTCCATACTTGGTTGTCTAACATGGATTGCATCTCGGACTTCATAGCCTTGCGCTATTTCTCGGAATCCGGACTCACCATAGCCTCTAGGTATGTGGTAGGCTCATCATGTTCCAATAACATGAACTCCTCATTCCCAGTCACGAGAAATCCGTATCTCACAGGCTCTTGGCGAATCCTGCTTGATCTCCGAGGTTCACTCGTCGAAGGTTAAGTCATAACCGACAGTGAATCAGGTTGAACGTCTTCAACTTGTTCACTCGGCTCAGCGTCTACTTGCTGCTCTCGAATTTCCTCAAGTTCGATCCTACTCCCACTGACTCTTTTGGAGACGAACTCTCGCTCCATAAAAGTCGCATTCCTGGCAATGAACACATTGTTCTCTGCCGGAATATAGAAGTAGTAATCCTTAGTTTCCTTAGGGTAGCCTACAAATAAACACTTATCAGATTTGGAGGATAACTTATCAGCCATCTGACGCTTCACGTAAGCGTCGCAACCCAAAATTCTGACAAACGACAACGCGGGACGCTTCCCCGTCCATATCTCATATAGCGTTGTTTCAGCCGACTTTGTTGGACTTCTGCTCAGCAGATACGCAGCGGTCTCCGCACCATTTCTCGGAATCTGGACCGTTGGACTCCTGTTCAGCAGATACGCAACGGTCTCTAAAGCATAGCCCCAAAAGGACTTCGGAAGATCTATCTGACTCATCATCGACCGAACCATGTCTAACAGTGTTCGGTTCCTCCGTTCAGACACGCCATTCCACTGTGGCGTTCTAGGAGGAGTTAATTGTGATACAATACAACAATCAACCAGATAGTGAGTGAAATCTTGGCTAATATACTCGCCACCACGATCTGATCGAAGTGTCTTGATCGTCTTGCCAAGCTGGTTCTGTACTTCGTTCCTAAAAGCCTTGAACATTTCAAGTGTTTCAGACTTATGTCTCATCAAATAGACATAACCGTATCGACTAAAATCATCAGTGAACGTAACGAAATACAGATAACCTCCTCTAGCTGGATAGCTCATTGGTCCACATACATCACTATGTATCAGGTCCAATAATTCTGTCGCTCTCTGTCCTTTCCCCTTGAAAGGATGATTCGTCATCTTTCCCATCAAACAAGACTCGCAAGATTCAAAAGACTCAAAGTTAAATGAATCCAGAAGACTTTCAGAATGAAGCTTCTGAATGCGCTTCTCGTTTATATGGCCTAGACGACAATGCCAGAGGAAGGTCGGGTTTAAGTCATTCGGCTTAAACCGTTTGGTACAAACGTTATAGATTGACCTGTATCTTGACGGCTCGTCATCCAAAACATAAAGGCCATTAAACTGATAACTTTTACTATAGAATAAATCACCTCTATAAATGGACAAACCTTTGTTCTCAATAACAAATCTGAAACCGTCCAAGTCTAAGCATGAAATCGATATAATGTTCTTGCGGATAGCAAGAACAAAATAACAATCATGCAACTCCAATACAAGGCCAGAAGGTAAAGTCAGATCATAAGTCCCGACGGCTAATGCAACAACTTTTGCTCCATTCCCAACGCGGAGATCTACTTCTCTTTTTGCCAGTTGTCTACTTTCTCGCAACCCTTGCACATTTCCACAAATATCAAGCTAGACTTGTCCGGATCATCATCCACATGCTTCCAATAAGCATCAATGATCGATCTAGAAGCCGTGGTAAGAGGTTTATCCTTCATAAAGACGGATCGCATCGTCAAATTCGGTATACTACCGGTCGACGCTATGTCCTACAGAAAAAGACAAAATAGAACGAAAACACATCTACATGCAGATTCTATCAATGATCTACTTCCAGTTAGTCCATCATCAATCAACGACAACTTATCAATGATCTACTACCAGCTAGTCCATCATCAATCAATGACAACATAGATGCATATACAAGCTATATTCCCATACAGAAAATTAACCCTACAATAATTTTCTATATGGGACTAAGATTTATATTTCACATAAGAATGAGTTGTTACACTCAGCCTTACGCTATTTAGGTAGACGTCTAATGTCAATCACATCCAATGTGACTCTTAGATCGTTTATGAGACTATGATATCAAATACATTGCATACTCGTCTCATCTGTACCGTTAAGTCTCAAGTCAAACTCGACAACTTAACCTAAGGTAAACCATATTCAAGTTGTGGGAACCACGATTTCCCACCCTGCCTCACAAAGATAATCCGGCACGCTCAGCTTTGGTATGACCCGTGATATGGACGATCGATACCTTGACAGGCGCTCTAGTAATGGAAGGTAGACGCTTAGCATTCATAAATAAGGGATTTTCGAAACCACACTTAGATCAAACATCTACTTTCAAACTATGAGAACCACCATTTCTCCATCTTGCCTCACCA